TTTATTGATGTTCTTCATATGAAAAAGTTTATTAGCTGCTACCAAAGTATTGCCAAGAAGTTGTTTTTGATATTAGGTTTCGTTGTGCGGTTTTGATCGTCACTATTTTTTTTTTTTTGGTTAAATATTATATGATAAAACAAGGTGCAAGTTAAAAGTGAGATAATTAGATATGTTAACTATGGATTTCTCTTTAATACTGTGGTAGTATCATTCCTTAGCTGAAATAGTTGAAAATATAAGAATCAACGTTCTAAAGATAAAACCTCTATTGTGGCGCCTATAAGAAAATAAGAAGCATTAATATGAATAGTCATGGCAGGGAATTCAAAATTGAAGAAGTCAGTTATTTTAAGATTATTGAGTTTACAGTGGACCATGATATTACTGAAAGTTTTATATCTTCTGTAAGCTGTAACAAGTCTCTTGCCAAATAAAGCAGGTCTTATATCTATTACCGGCAATAGACTGCCATTTTTGTGGAAAAGGTGTAGTTGATCGCTGGTGCAGCTCAAAGAGTTAAGTTGACTGTACATTCCCCAGGGTTTCTAAAAGATTTGGATTAGTGTAAACAGTGTAAATCTATAGATCTGTGGAATTAGGCTCCTGGTATAACAAAAAAGGTACATTGCAAAAGCAGCTAATGGTAGATTCAAAATATGGCATTTAAGTTTTTAATTAATTATTAAGTCATTACTTATTTAATTTAACTAATAGTAAAATTGTATACATACGATTCTGAATCGGTAAAATTTGTTTATTTGTAAGATAATTCTGTAAAAAAGATTTTAGAAAAAATTCACAGAATAAGAGTCAAATTTATTATGTTACTTATGTTGTTACGGATTTCGGGGTTCGGATCGTGAAGGCCCCCGCACACGGAGAGAATTTGGCGCGCTCGACTTTCTCACTTCTCCCCATACACGACATGCCTTTCTCTCAACTATATCTGACGTCAGCCCTATCATATGACCAACCAGAATGGCGGACTACTAAAGTGACAGTAAAAGCGATGACGAAGAGGAGGGAATACAGTTGATATAATGACGTCGCAGACTATTTCGGCTATTTTCGGATAGCGCTGTCACGCTTGTCCTTGTCAGGCGATCGGATATCATAAACGCAGGGGTAATCTTGCCAAAATTCAACAAATTTATCCTCAAGGATTGCTTCTGTCACTACTTCACTGGGCGTTGTGCGTTGTGTACCTCGCCTGAGAAATAGCCCACGGTTACCAGCACACGATATGCCATCGGCCACGGGTGGTCAAAAATATCAAACACGATAGATATTTTCCACACGACCACGAGTGGCCAAATGCACACTACAATTTACACACCCGATGCGCTACTAGTCGAGCGTAATTGGCGCCATTTTCTCTCCGTGTGCGGGCGCCTTTAGTATTCTGTTTATTTATTCGCACATGATTATTTTTTTTCTTTCTACTTCACTCTGGCAACTGAAGTGTCAATGCTAACAATTACCCCACTCACCATTAATAAAGTTGTCTGTTGTAGATGTTAATGCGGTGGGGCTCAAGGGTTAGATGGTAGACATTGATGAATAAAGAGTTAATCTCAATAGTAGAACATTTTCAGTCATAGAAATCATGAAAGCCAATCTGTGCATATTCATGGTTTTTCTTTTTTGACTGATTGGAGACTTGATAAATAAGACCCCATACTTCATATTTGATGTCAAAGCCCCCAGCTCAACCAAGCCTCAATACACAAATCACACAGAATAAGGGTAAAATTTATTCTGTGTCACATTCACTTCGCAAATGATTATGTTTTTTTTTAAATCTCTACTCTGACAAAGTGTGAAAACTAACATTAGACTGAGTATAAAGTCTTCTGTTGACATTGTGAATGTGTTCAAGGCTTAGATGGTAGAAATCGATGCCTCTTGAATTATGACGCAAATGGCAAGTCATATTTCGATGGTACAACGACTTTATCAGTCATAGAAATCATGAAAGCCAATCTTTCTTTTCGCATTCACGGTCTTTATAAGCAGTCAACGCAAATAAATTTTCAAGTTGGCAACACTATGTTCTTTTAGATCATTGATCTAAATCGAGTCTAAACACCACAAATTACATAGAATAGGAGTCAAATTCATATTAACTTGGCACATGAATATGTTTTTCTTTTTTACCGTACATCTCCACTCTGACAACTGAAGTGTCAGAGCCATCACTACTAGTAAGACCGATAATTACCTTCCAACCGATACACAATATTGTCTGTTGTTTATGACAGGTATTCGATGGTAGAAATTGATGCATAATGAATTATGACACAAATCATAAGTCATATTTCGATTGAAGAGCGACATTTTCAGTCTTAAAAATCATAAAAGCCAGTCTGTGCACATTCATAGTCTTTCTTTTAGGACTAATGGGACACTTGATATCTATTACATCCCATTTGATGTCATCCTGCTATATCTTGCAGAATTATTAGCACCCAAAATAGATGAATTTTCAAGTGTGGTAAGACTTTGGTCTTTAAAAACATCCATTGTATGGAAAATTGTGTGGAGGAAATAAATTAAATAATTCAATATCTGATACATCGTGCATAATTATGTTTTAATACGCCTACATTATAATGTGGTTGTATATTATCGTCGCTCCTGTCCGTCCATCGGTCCGTCCGTCCACAATTGGCTTGTGAACGCAATAGAGACAACAGTTTTTACCTGATTTGGATGAAATTTGGTGTGATCATTTATATTCATGAGATCTTGGCCAAGTTCGAATTTTACTATCTTTCGATGAACGGTTTTTGAGTTATTGCCCTTGACTTATGAAAAAGGCGTCAAAATTTGGTTGTGAACATAATAGAGACTACAGTTTTCATCAAATTTTAATGAAATTTGGTGTGAATATTAATGATGATGAGATCTTGGACAAGTTCGAATTTAGCTATCTTTCGATGAACGGTTTTTTGAGTTATTGCCCTTGACTTATGAAAAACGCGTCAAAATGTGGTTGTGAACACAATAAAGACTACAGTTTTCATCCAATTTAAATGAAATTTGATGTTAATATTTATAATGATGAATCTTGGACAAGTTTGAATTTGGCTATCTTTCGATGAATGGTTTTTGAGTTATTGCCCTTGATTTATGAAAAACGCGTCAAAATTAGTTTGTGAACACAATAGAGAGTACAGTTTTTATCCGATTTAAATGAAATTTGGTATGATCATTTATAATGATGAGATCTTAGTCAAGATTAAATTTGACAATTTTTCGATCAACGGAATTTGAGTTATTGCCCATGACTTAGTAAAAACGTATCAAAATTTGTTAGCGATAGAATTGACAGTTTATGTCAGAATTTTATTAAATAATGTGTGTTTGTTTGTATGATTTGACACAGATAGGAGACTGCCCTTAATATACTGAAAATTTATCAGGAAAGTGGGCGTATCTTGCTAGACAAACACTTGTTTTAAAAAATGGCTAAAATGACGATTTTCTCTAAAATTAGCAACAAAATCACATTTCTGAATAATACTTTGCACTATTTAGAACATTTTGCAATAAAGAACGCTGTAGCATGGCTATTCACAAATAGATAAAATTGAATTGGTAAGGAATCTCAACAGCAACTTTATCTGAAGATACCAAACCAAACCATCCATCTGTAGCCATTCGAAAACTGTAAACCAACAAGATCTTACGGGACCATCAGTTCAACGCCATCAATTCTCCTTCAACGGACCACTGGTACAAGTTAATGGAACTTTGTGCATCATCTCATGTTTCCTATACAGACTACGACGTTTGATTCTGCTGTGATGTCAAA